TTAGCGTCGAGCAACATGGTTTTCGCTAAGGACTTCTGTGTCGAATGAACTTGTTGGTAGCTCGTGTGAGCTGGGCTGAAGCCGTAGACAATGGACATGCAGTGGATGTAGTGTTCATTGACTTCGCCAAGACGTTTGGCACTGTCCCTGATTCGCAACTCTCACTGAAGTTGAGGTCGTATGGAATAGCTGGTCGCGCTCTCCAGTGGGTGTCAGCTTTTCTGGATAGACGGGTACAGTGTATTCGTGTGGGAAGCAGTCTTTCGTTTCGACAAGCTGTACTTAGCGGTGTTCCGCAAGGCTCTGTCCTAGGTCCGCTGCTTTTCTCAGTCTACGTGAATGACTTGTCGGAGGAGCTTGAGGTACCATCGCTCTTATTTGCTGATGACCTAAAGCTCTGGAATATTGTTGATATCCCTGGAGGTCCTGTGACTCTTCAACGGGCTCTGGATAGACTCTGGGAATGGTCTGTCTTGTGGTTGTTGCCCATAACCCGGGCAAAGTGTTCAGTGCTGCGTATCGGAGCGTCAGATTCCTCCACAAGTTATGTGCTCGATGGGAGTGAACTTCCTCATTTGACTCATCAGGTTGATCTAGGTGTCGTCTACTGTTCCACACTACACTGGAAACAACTGGAAGGTGGCTTGTAAAGCGTTCCGGATGTTATGGTTTATCCGTCGTTCTTTCGGGTCCCTAACTGCTAATATCTTTGTGAAGCTCTTAGCGTTTGTGTGACCCCACCTAGAATATTGCGTCCAGGCCTGTCCACCATGCCTTGTCCGGGACAAAATGGCACTGGTAAGGGCGTTGCGTGTCGGCACTAGGTTGGTTGAGGGGTTACGAGGACAAACGTACCCCGAACGCCTACTTAGTTTGGGGATGCATTCAATGCACTTTCGAAAGATTAGAGGAGATCTAATCCTAACCTACCGTATTTTGACTTCGGTTGGCCCTGATTTGTCCTGTCTATTTAGTTCTGCTAAATTATCTGGTCTCCGCGGTCATTGTATGAAGCTGGACAAACCGCGGTCCGATCGAATCAGAGCGGAGACACGGTTATCGCGTCGAGTCATCGAGCGCTGGAACTTGCTTCCAGAAAATATTGTCAAGGAAGCTACGGTTAAGGGGTTTGAGCGTCAACTAGATGCCCTTGGGTGGCAGCATGAATCCTTTCCTTTTTCCTGTTTAATTCCCATCTTCATACTTCGATTCTGTTTTCTGTACTTTCCCTCACCATTGGTATTATTCTCCTCTTTTAACTGGTTTCCCTTACTCTTTACGTTCGCTTTTTCTTCCTCTCTTCACGTAACTGCCATAGCAGGGACAGCTAATGCAAGAAACGTGGGCATTAAATTGGTGGATCAGGGTGTTTTTCGGGTGTTTTCCTTTTAGATCCATCAAGAAGTCAGAGCACACCTCATCATTATTTCATCATCATTAACAGCAGTACATCAGCCATTTGAACTGATGCTTCGCTGCCATACAACCATGAGGACCTATGAAATAAAGAATAAGAAGAGGGAGAGAAGGGGGACTTACCTGAAAACCTTAATGCCCTAAGCAAACATTCAGGGTCAAGGCGCCTACACCTTGTGTAGACAACATTCCGTCACAAACAGCTGGCTATCGTGCAAAGATAAGGCGGCATCAGCGAGACAGCTTCCTTGCGGCTTTCACTGCCACATGTCATAATCAGCCATTACCCCGCAGATAACTCAGTACCAAACACACTTTAAACAGACAATCCGATTAGGAGACGGCAGCAGACGCGCCACTGGTGTCGGTTGCGAGCCATGTCCTGTAAAGTCTCGAGCCAAGCACAAGGCGAGTCACGTGGACTCCAGCCCGGAAGGCGAAACGGACCAATGGCACCCAGTTTGGTCGTCAGTGACTTCATTTCCCGCTGCCAAGTCAACTTCTGTCCACCTCGAGCCTTGCGCCATCCTACACCTGGTAAACTGAACAAGGCCCTCCTGGGTAAGCGGTGACCAGGCATGTGTAGCACGTGCCCGAGCCAACGCAACTTATTCAGTGCTATCTGTTGTTCTAGGAAGCTAGCATGATCATCACCACCTAGTACTCGCCTACGCACATCATCGTTGCGGACACGCTGGTGCCATCCGACACCAGCAATGCTTCGCAAACAACGATGATCAAAGCCTTGAAGGCGCCTCAGATCTTCAGACCGAACGGGCCAAGTCTCACTACCGTAGAGCAGAACGGCCCTCACTGTGGCCTTGTATACACGGCCTTTCAGACGGAGGGAAACTCCCTTCTGTCGCCAAAGATGACGCAGGTTCAAGAAGGCAGCTCTGGCCTTTGCAATGCGTGAGCTCACGTCAGTTTCTATGCGCCCATCATTGCTGATGCAGCTGCCAAGATAAGTGAATTGATCAACCACCTCGAGTTCCTCGTTAGCAAGCGTCAAGGTGTCATCGAGTGGCTGGTGGTCCTGCAGCAACACTTTGCACTTTGAAGGTGCGAAGTGCATACCAAATAATGGGACCACTCTGGATAGGCTATTCAGGGTTGATTGTGCCGCCTCAACATTGTCGAAAAGCAAGACGATATCGTCCGCATAATCTAGATCAACTAACCGTTCACCAGGCAGCACTTCAACGCCTACATCGTGAGATTCCGCAAGGGAACACTCCATGATAGAATCCACGACGAAATTGAACGAAAACGGGGAAATCGGGCAACCCTGACGAACGCCACTTGTAGTCGAAAAGCTATCCGATGGGGCACAATAGACCCTGACGCGGCCTGTAGTGTTCGAGTATAGAGCACGAAGGATGTTCACATATTTCGTGGGAACACCTTTCCGCGCAAGTATTTCGAACAGAATCGATCGATCGACTGAATCGAACGCACACTTGAAATCGATGAACACAGCTATTGTCGGTCTGCGGTATGCGTGGCGCTGCTCTAGCACCTGCCGCAAAGTAAATATATGGTCTATACAGCCACGTCCTGGGCGAAAACCGGCCTGCTCTTCCCTAATCCGAGATTCCCGTTCTGCAGTGAGGCGACGAACGATAATCTAGGCCAGTAATTTTGTCACAACTGGCGTTAGGCTAATACCCCTGTGGTTCGCACAGTCTGTGCGACTGCTCTTTTTAAATATTGCCACTATAATCGATTCGCTCCAATTAGCCGGCCCACTCTCTTCGTTCCAGATACATTCGAATAGGGAGGTCAGTGCTTTGCAGAGGACCTCACCTCCATCCTTAAATAGTGCAGTTGGTAGGGAATCCGGGCCAGCGGCACGAAAACGATTGAGGGCTGTGATCGCGTTTCGGACCTCGGCCTCCGACGGAGGCTCTAAACTAACCGTCCATGGCTCGTCCTGCATCACCTGAGTAGGAAGAGGTCCGGGAGCAGGGGGCCAGCTGAACTGATGTTCAAAGTGCTCAGCCCAACGAGCCATACGGCGCTGCTTATTGTGTATCAGCGCACCCGCGCTGTCTCCGTTTGCCTCACTGACGCCTGGTTTTCTCGGACCAGTGGTGCTAGTTAGCTGGAAGAGCTTGCGGTAATTGCTCTGGTTTTCACTGGTCCGAGAAAACCAGAGCACCCCTATCACTTATGGGATTCATCCTATCGTTCCAGTCCCACCTGAACTTGGAACTGAATCATCTAAGTATGGCACGAGCTTCGCCGCACCGAAGTATAAAGTGCTACTCCAGGATTGGCCTACACCTGCTCCCCTGCTCACTCTCGAAAGTGCACAAATTGGACAGGTAGATAGTTTCGTCTAACTTGGGAGCTGTGTTTCTACTGACGGCGCTAGCAGCAAGACAGTTTTTCTCCACATTGCTAAAGCCCGATCAGCATTTGCCAATCTGATACACTTGTGGCGTCATCGCGACGTCTCATTTTCACTAATGGACCGCGTTTACAGCACATCTATTCGTTCAGTATCGTTTTACGGGAGCGAGTCCTTGCCAATTCGCGTGGAGGACATGCGTCGTCTTTTTGCCTTCGATTACGGTTGCTTAAGGAGGATTGCTCGTGTTTGGTGGCAACGTCGAATTAACAGTAATGACGTTCGACTTCGCATCTTGGGAAATGCGAGTGTTCCATTCAACTTACAGTCACAAATAATTAGCTGTTGTGCAAAGACAAGGCGCCGTCACCGGGATAGATCCCCTGTGGTTTTCACCTCCCTGCATCATAATCAGCCATTACCTCAGCTAACAGCACCAAACAGGCAGTCCAACTAGGAGACGACAGCAGACACATCACTGGTGCCATCTGCGAGCCATGTCGTGTAACGTTTCGAGCCAAGCACAAGGCGGGTGACGCGGACTCCCGCCTGGAAGGCAAGGTGGACCAACAGTACCCATTTTTGTAGCCAACGACTTCATTCCCTGCTGCCAACTTAACTTTTGCCCACCTCGAGCCTTGCATCACCCTACCTCTGGCAACTAAAACCAAGATTGTTGACAGTTAGGTGGCCCATACGTCTTCTTGTTGTTCCAAGTCCATATGGAAACCATTGTCCATCGCGCTTTTTTGTGCACCCTTTGTTAGGTGCTTACCACTGGCTGCAGAAGTGAGTGCTCCATGATCCCATAGCCTGTGACATTGGCTTTGACACATCGCCGTACGAACTCTTGCGGTATCTAATGGGGAACCAGGTGACTCACCAGGAATCTTCCACGGTTTAAGACGTTGCCGCTCTTTGTCTGCGACAATTTATTCATCCCGCCTGCGAACATCCGATCCGCAATCTGGGGATGTGCCAGGTAGCGTACTGCTCCAGCGAACTAACTGGTCGTCGGCTTATTTCCTATATGTCAAGTACATTTCTATGTGCATTGATTTACTTTGATTGATCCCAAGCATTTCGATATCTGCAACAAACTTTCTAAGTCCCTAAATCATTTTTTCTCACACAACAAATTTTTCCAGCACTCTTTTCAATTTTTTCAAAATCTGATGTTTCATTTCCTCACATTCTGTCGTATCACACCACCGTCTTGCCTCACCCGGCACTTTTACTTGTTGACCCAGCTAAAGCGATCGCATGCTGGGCGAGCTGCCGTGGAAGTACCAGCTGCGTGTATGGTTCATTTCGCTGCTTCTGTAGTTTTTCGAAACGATGGATTAAATTCAAAAAATACTCGTTCGGGTGCACAACACTTGTTTTAGCTTGACTGTCTACATTTACGCTCTATCAAGTCGATCAACAGACAGTAATTGCTATGTGGTGGTCAGTCTTCCACTTGGCGACAGGTCACGAAATCGCTGGCGTCGTATCTAGCCGCTGTTGGACCCATACGTCTTCCAGGATGGCGACCCAAAGATGTGGAGTACGAATGGCTTAACACTCTTGAAGACATGGCCCGCAACCGGAATCATTGGAGGTATTGTGTACAGACTTGTATTGATTCACATGTTTGACACTTCAAACATTGAAACTGACAAAACATTGTTCTATTTTCTGTCAATTGTTCTTTTTCTTGCGGCATAGTAGCTGAAGTGTGTTGCTCCCCTTCAACTACTATGCCACGATGAGTATAACGCGCTGACTTCCCGTTATTCGCTAATCACTGTGGTTTTTATAGGCTGTCTAGTTGCTAGACTGTTGAGATTACTACTACTTGAGCGTGATGGCACTGAAACATCAACCGACCAGCAAAAGGCCTGTTTACTTGCTGAACAGTATGCAAGTCGTTTGTTCGCGGGTCTCTGTTACCGAATCGTGACATAGCCGCAAACATTCCAATGGACTCTTACCTGACGGATGTTTCCATCTCTGAAGTGCAGGTGCACACGCTGCTGCCGAGATAGACGCCATCCATCGCAAGCTTTTGTACGAACTAGTCGATGTACTATACAAACCGATCATCTAACTTTTTGAGAGATCTCTTCGTAACTGCTCTCTACCTACCGACTGGAGAGTGGCTACCGTTTGTCCTGTTTTCAAAATGGCGGTAAGCATCTCCCTGAGAATAATGGACCCGTTAGTCCGATAAGCGTACTGTTTAAGCTATTAGAGAAACTGGTGAGGGATGCTCTCGAAAACTACATGGTTAAGTTCAGTTTGCTCGACCCGTCTCAACATGGGTTCCGCAGAGGTTATTCTTCTTTACTTAACTTGTTGCTGACCCGGGAATGCTGGGCTGTGGCTGTAGATTTGGGACAGGCAGTGGACGTTTTGTTCATTGACTTTTCCAAAGCCTTTGACACTGTCCCGCACTGTCGCCTTCTGTTTAAAGTAACATCCTGTGGCGTCTCTGGCCAAGCCCTGAACTGGATTTTGGCGTTCCTAGAGGACAGAGAGATGGGCGTTCGAGTGGGCTCCGAGTTCTCTTTCCGACAAGCCGTACCGTGTGGCGTTCCACAGGAGTCTGTTCTCGGTTCTCTACTGTTCGCGGTGTATGTTAATGACCTGCCTGATGAGTTTTAGATACCATCCCTTCTGTTTGCGGATGATCCAAAATCTCGGAATCCAGTGAGCGACTCTGAAGGCCTTTTGGTTTTGTAGATACCTCTTGACAAGCTTTAGGAGCGGTCAGATTTATGGCAGCTGCCAATAAATCTTGCTAAGTGCTCGGTCTTACGCATAGGATCAAGTAAACCTTCTACACGTTACCTACTTGGCGGAAGTGCAGTGTCGCAGGGGACCCACCAAGTCGACTTTAAATTCAGTGAGAACTGGACTGTGGCTACTCGCACGGGTTTCCGAATGCTGTGGATGATCCGTAGATCGTTTAGGATCATACTTCACGTGTCGAAGAGCCGATATCAATGGTGTCTATGTTGTGTTTTTTATCCCTCCCTATCCCTCTTATCTTCCCTCTCTACCATCTCTATCTTGAAGTATAATGTTACTAAGCAGTATATTACGTTTTTATATTCTATACTGTTTACTGTCTCGTTTTTTTCATATCTTTTGTATTGCGGCGCAATGGGTGAAGTCTTTCTCACCTTCAGCCGATGTGTAATGCTGGTGATAATGTACACGAAATTGACTGAGAGATTTGGTCAGGCTGGTGCATACTGTCTTCGTGAATAAGGATCTTGGGATGGTCTACACCAATGGTTGGAGACTCCATCAGACAAGGCGCAGTCAGTAGCACTCCTGCATTCATTTTCTCGCATCTTGCGGTTAATTTTCGTTTCAGGCACTTCTTTCCTGATTCTATTTTTATACTGTTTGTGTTCAACCAGATTTTCTTGTTATTTATTGTTATTCTGGTAATGTGAGTCGTGGCAACTGGATCCACCGCACTTTGGTGCCGGGATCATAGTTTAACTGGATTGAACTCGGCCCGAAAATGTCTTTGTGACACGTAGACATCTACGTTTAACCGTGGACACTGAGGTAACATCCGAGTTAAACGATCTTGTCTGCCACTTCCAGTGGATAACCCGAAAGAGAGTCGAAGCAGCTACCCAGTTCTGTTCTTACTCTTCGAAGAGACGAAAGTCATTCCAAACTGGCAGATATCCACACCTATCATGCGCAACAAATCTTAGGCGAGCTCCTAGGAATCGTAGATCATGGCGACGTCACTAAATTCACAATTGTCCGGGGATAGTGCAAGATGTCATCCATATCAAAATTGCATAAGAAGCTTGATGCCGGGCTGATCTGTCTCACACCGTTGATGATACTGAGGGATTTCGTCATCGTCAACCGGCACATTAGCCAGGAGTGAGGAACACCTCACCTATTGCATCCCAATACAATTCAATAAGCTACTGGTGATGAGAGAGATAAAACACTATGTAAGGAAAACAAATATTATACGTTGTTTTCTAGTATGCATTCAGGTCGAGGTTTTGTTTGGAGGTGCAGACTAAGCGGGAGGGTTAGGATAAAAACATTCACAACATAAACGTCATTGCAGTCGGTTCTTCGCCATGTCAACTAGTCCACCCAACCAAACTTATTCATCGTCTTCGGGACCCCAACTAGGAGGTTGAGTAGCTCCAACCGAGGTTAACTTCGTTTGCCCCACGTTCATCCAGACTGGTCGCGCAAACAGCGCACGTCGCGGAGGTCGGTGTGCTGGCATGCGCCGTATGTGGCCCAGCAATCAGGGCTTGCTGCGTGATATAACGACGCTGAGCAATTCGCTCGCTCTTCCTGCACCAAATGCTCGACATCTAACACGCTCATTGCCCATCCCGTGTCCCTACCGTTTGCGAGCTAACTTACGGTAGCACCGGTAGTCGAACGTAAATAAAGATGGACATCAACAGTACGCCGGTACTCAATACCGACGCTTCGCTGCCGCGCAACCATCACCAGTCGCACCTGGGCTAAGGACACTGCGTGGGTCGCCCGGTCGCTACACAGGGTCGAACACGCGCCCTCAGATTACAAGGCAGGCTTGTGATCCTCAAGGCTACGGGCCAACAGTCGAACCTAACTAGCCTTATTAGATCAACTTGATGGACCAGGTCTCGCAATCGTAGAAGACAGTTGAACGGACGTCTGCATTGTATGACCCACCCTTCAGGGTGAGAGGGATGTCGCGCTGACGCCACGGGTGTCGGAGATCAGCAACTGTATATCCAGTTTTCACTATACAGTTCATGATACCATCTACTATTCCACTAGCGCTGATTCCGATGCCTAGTGAGTTAAATTTTTTGACGACACTTAGTTGATCCCCACCAGAGATCCGCGTAGAAGTGCGGTTCCTACCAATCTTGGAGGAAAACTTGCATTTCATGGGTGCAAAGCACAGCCCCAAAAGCTCGGCGGTCAGTGCTATTCTATTCAGTACTGCTTAGCATGTTCGTGAGCTGTCACAAATAGGAGCGATATCGTCGGCCTATTCCAAGTCAAAAATTCCATCACTTCGGAGCAACTCCACACCTAATTCCTGTCCAGTAGACACAGTTCCCATGACTTCATTGATTGCGATGTTTAAAAGGAAAGATGGCAGCAGGCATTCACGTCTCACATCGCTGGAGATATTGCAGCTTGGCAACAGTTTGCCATAAGCCCTCACACTGCTCCAACTACGCGTATAAAGCGCTCCGGTAATGTTAACGTAATTATTGAGCATACCTTTCCTGCTCAGACAGTCGCAAAGGGCACAGATCCACCGAATCGAAGGAACCTTTGATATTGAGGAGCACGACTACTGTGGGTCGTCATTATAAGTGATAATGCTTCAAAAATTGTGGTAAGGTAAATATATGGTCATTGCAGCCTCGATTTCGGCGAAATCGGGCTTATTCCTCACGAATTTGGCTCTCACTGGTGTCAGTCAGTCAAGGCAGACGACGGGCAAGTGATTTAGAATAAGCAGTGATCTAAATGCTTGCCGCATTCCGAACGCGAGCCTATCTTGAAGATCAGTGTTAGGGGCCAAAGGCTTTGGATGAGGACCATAATCATCCTCCTGTCTACGTCTGGGCGCCCTGGCAGTACTTCAGCCCACATACAACCATGACATTTTCTTCAAACATAAACTTCATCCTGTATCGGCCGTCGCGCACATTGTCAAGGGTCGCCTTATCTGCTGCATACAGCATGGCGGATAAGCGAAAACATGCTACTGCTGGCGCCTCCCTTCTTGCTTTTCCACCTGGTTCTCTTACTCCCATCCCGACCCCATTATTAACCTTCCTATAATTCCCAGTTTAATTGACAGCAACCGAAATGCCACTGGAGTAGAACCATCTGCAACCACCATCCCACCTCACCTATCGGACGCCTGTCAGCAAATGTCCCTTATGAAGCCATGCTTTCACATTTCCATGGCGACATTCAACGTTCGCACTCTAAGACAAACAGCTCAACAGGCCGCACTCGCACGCACCTTGAACACACTGGGTATTGATGTTTGTTGTGTGTCCGAAACTAGGATCAATGACCATAGTGGGTTGTTGAAATAATTGCACCCGCCTTATCCTCACGCTATTGGTTGCACGCATCCGGAGACGCCGTTGCAACGTTCACGAGTCAAGCTGGTGTAGGTATCATTCTAAGCTCCAAGGCTGAGCCATTGTTGGTTGATTGGATTCCGGTGAACAGCCGTTTGTGTGCAGTCCGTTTGACAACATCAGCTAAGGTTGATTCACGAAGTAGTAAAAAACGCTGTTTGTTTGTGATTTCCGCTTATGCTCCCACCGACTGCAGTTCTAATGCTGTCAAGGACACATTCTATGATGAACTGAACGCACTACTACGCAGTGCTACTAGTTCAGATATTATAGTGCTTGCAGGGGATATGAACGCACAAGTAGGGAGTCTGAGCTCTTCAGAAGCTCAGCTGGGTGGTAATTATGGGCTTAACTCTGAACGGACTGACAACGGTGAGCGTCTGCTGCAACTGTGTGCGGAGCACCAGTTGTTTCTTAGTAGCGCTGCTTTTAGACACGGTGGGCGACGAAGTGC